CCTGCTGCCATTGCCCAGAGCCCCTGAGGAATGTACACACATTCCTTTGGAGTGGCCTTCCCCAGGAGAGATGACTTATGGGGTTTGTAGTCTAGCATAGCTGGAGGGCACCGGCTTGGGGAAGGCTGCTCTGAAAGGAGCTCCTCATGCCTGCCTGAGGAGTTGGTTTTTGATGCTGCATCAGCCAACCACAACTGCGGGCTTTTAAATTCTAGGCACATAATTCTTGGCAAATAAAATGGCCTCGGAGATCAGCATGTCAGAACATGACACCTTCCCCTGGGTCACCTGGAGAACATACATGACATCTAGCATGTAAAACTGAATTATTGTTATGGATATCAACCCCACCTCTTTATCCACTAATTCAATGCATCTCTTGCTTGCTGGAAGTTTTACGTTTCTATGCCTGACTGAACATGTTAGTGTTGATGTAGCTATACAATTCCACCTTTCTCCTTTTTCTATGTGGGCACTTTGCTCTTGGAAGAGCAAGATTTTGTCTGGATGTCTGTGTATGTATCTCTCCCGATTTCTAGACCTGTTTATGAAGCGGTATTTATGCTGGTGTGATAATGATGTGTCGCTTTTGTTTGAAGTTCAGCAGCTGTGGAAAGAATGTACACAAACAGTGTAAAAAATTCAGCGGTCAGGTGTTTCCCTTTTCTAAACAAAGGCCATCTTTCGTGTTTACCAAGAGCTTTCGGCATCTCAGTGCCTGTAATTCCGTGACTAGGATAGCTGAGCTCCACGCCACAAGATATGAACCAGTGGGTGAAGTAAATAATGTTCTTTGACTTGGCACTGGTCTGAACCGAGGGAGCATGTGAGAAGCAGGATGGCTGTTTGACTGGAAAATTCTTTCACAGTCACTTAGCCAAGCTGCGTGTAATGTCTCCAGGAAACAAGAACAAGTCCTTCGGATGGGCTATTGAGGTTAATATATCCAAATATATGCACCTCTAGAATTCCTTTGGCTTCTTCCGCTGCTCTGTTATATCGTTTATTGTGGTTTTCATCTTGGCAGACCCTTTCATGGCCCTTGTCACTCAGCTTTACAGAACGCTCGGGTTACCTGTGAATTACTTTAGAAGTTGAATCATTTTTTATTGCTACTTTTTCTCCTTTTTTGAAGGGTGTATAGAGGAGTTCAGGTTACGTGACATCATTTAGCAAGTTGCTTTTACAGTACTAGCAAAACATCCAAAATTGTGATAGGCAGGGAGGCCCGTGTGTCTCCAGACTAATGCTAACATAGCATTTGAGAGTGCAGGAATGCAAAGCTGGGTAAAGTTCTCTTGGGCACAAAGACTCCCAGCTTTCCTTTTGGCCACCTGCGGGCCTGGGAAGAGGGGAGGCACTGCGTTCCCGTGCAGTCCACAGGGTTGGTGCCAAGCTTGTCCAGGGTACCTGCCAAGCTCAGTGCACCTGAGCCAGAGAAAAGAACAAAAGCAGTCAGCCATGTGGTGTGCCTTGCAAGCTGCTAGGAAACTGGCTAATCAGGAGGCATTTCCCATTAGAGGAACCTCTGCTATTATGGCTCCAATCCAAGAGATGATCCAAGGCTTAGCTCACACAACATGATAACCCATGTTTCAACACCAGTGCATGAAAACAACCTTTTTTTACTTTCTCTGGCAGTTTAAGGGCTGCTTATGGGTTCTTCAGTACATTCTTTTCTTGTCATACCAGCAAATGTGGTATGGTTTTTCTATGCCACAGTTTCCAAAGATGCAGGATGATGGTGCATGAGAGACAGAATGTTGTGTTGGATTGAAAGATTGTAGAGCTATGTGGAACGTGCCCACACATCTGACATCACAAAGTAGGTTGTTTGTGGTCTTCTCAGCTTCATATATTGACTGGGTTCAGACAGCACAAGAACATACTTTTAAGTGTTGAATGTAGGTTGAATATGGGTTGTGGTTGAAATGTGAGCTATTGTTTTGTGTGAACCCAGCCAGAATAACAAAACATGAACAATGCACCCAACAACATTCCATTGGTTATTTTCATGTGTTGTATAGTTGACAACCCATGACTTGTTAGTGCACCTGGGTTCAAACAACAGGACAAGCCACATTTCAGCAACTCACAGTTGAATTACAATCTCAGCCTTTATTTATGTAATATATTTCTGTACTACCACATCAGCCCATAGGGCTCTCTAGGTGCTTTGCAATTAACATAGACAAAAATAGTTTAAAACAAATAAAACATTTTAAAAGAATCAAATATCATAATAAAAAATCAATATGATTTGGCAACAACACTATATAACATAGCTCAGCATTGACAAGATCTTAGTAACACAGTTAAAACAGCTATCCATTAAAAACATTTCTTAAATAAAAAGGTTTTTGCCTGGCACTGAAAGGACAACAAAGACAACAAAGATGGTGCCAGGTGCACCTCGCTGACGAGCGTGTCCCAAAGGCATCTCTCCTGGCTTTACGGGGTGGCTCCTCAAGAAGAGCCTCGGATGAAGATCTTAAAGTTCAGCCAGGAACATGTGCAGAAAGGTGATCCTTCAGGTAACCTGTCCCCAGACCGTTTAGGGCTGTAAAAGTCCCTTTGAAGCGGGCCTGGACTGCAACTGGTAGCCAGTGAACCTGGAAAAGGACTGATGCAATGTGATCACGGACACCAGACCCCTTCAAAAGCCGCATGACCCTGTAATGGATCAGCCGCAGTTTCTGGACTGTCTTCAGACGCAGCCCCATGCAGAGTGCGTTGGAGTGATCAAAGCGGGAGGTGACCAGCTCATGAATAATGTGGCCAGGCTTCATCTACCCAGATGGGGGCACCACTGGGAAATTAGCCTAAGCTGATAAAAGGTGTTCCTGGCCACCAAGTCCACCTGGGATGGCTCAGGAGCCAGGAGCACCCCCAAGCTGCGTAATCTGTACTTTAGGGAGTGTGCAACCCTGTACACCCTGATTTCCCAGCTGGACACAGGAGACACTGCTTTGAGTTTTTCTGCATGTTTTCCCAGCTCATTATGGTTTCCAGTGTGGTTTCTGTACATGCTTGAGCAAATACGACTACCTCTCTGAGGCCATTTAGAGAAATAAATGATAGCCGCATTTCTCAAACTGCCTTATCTCTATCAAAGAAGGTGTGTGTGTGTGGGGGGGGGCTTCAAGTATGAGGTGGAGTCTGGTGTTCCAGGTCTCCATCAGTCTTGCCTGGGAGACTGATGTGTGCTGCATTGCCCAAGGGATTACAAGTCCATTGAACTCAATGAGGCTTGCTTTTGACCTGTATGTAAGTGGGATCGCATCACTCCGCTAGCTAGTTCACCTTCACCTAGGCAGTTTTGTTGAGTGCTCCCAGAAAAGAAGGTTCAACAAAATATTTAATTGGGCTTTATTGAGATGTGCAAACGCAGTGTGACTTCATGTTCCAGGTATTTGAATGATTCCATCATCTCCCCTTTTCTGGCTTCACTATAGGAATTTTTATAGGAATGAATACAGTTCTATATTCCTGTAGAAATACATGAATATTCCTCCAAGAAAGGGAGGAGCAAGATGGTTTCTGCCAGCCCTTCTAGCATGACTGGTGTTTGGCAGAATTCGTGTCATAGCTAGTTGGAATGGTAACACTCAGTGTCTCATTCTTCAATATGTGTAATGAGGAACTGTTCAAATCCATTAGCATGTGATGCAGCTGTAAAAAGGGCAAATGCCATTTTGGGATGCATTAAGAGAAACATTACTTCCAAATCACAAGAAGTAGTAGTTCTTCTATACTTCTCACTAGTCAGACCTCATCTGGAATACTGTGTACAGTTTTGAGCACCAAGATTTAAGAAAGGTGCAATAAAATTAGAAAGGGTACGGGGGGGGGGGGGATCGCAAACCCTGGATCACTCAACAGAAGTGATCCAGGGTTTCAAAACATTGCCCTCTGAGGAGAGACTGAAAGAACTGGCGTGTTCAGCTTTGAGATAAGAAAGCTGAATAGGGACATGATATCCTTCTAGAAGTACCTCAAAGGCTGTGGCTAAGAGGAAGATCAAGATCTCCCTGATACCAGAGTGTAGGACGCGGAATAAACAACTCAGGTAACAACAGGAAAAGTTTCCACACTGTCAGAGTAATACGACAGTGGAACCAGTTGCCTAGAGAGGTTGTGGGCTCTCCTACACCAGAGCCATTCAAAGCAAAACTGAACACTCATTGAAGTGGGATGGTGTAAGTTGGTGACCTGATGGCTTTCTTGGCCCCTACCAACTCTACTGTTCTATAATTCCATGACCATCCAGATCTTTGGGTTTATTTTCTAATGCTAGATACAAACAGTCCCCAGTGACCTTTTTTTTTATTTTTCTGAACAGGAAACATGGGGCCAATGGGATCCATGTGGCACCTATTACCCCACAGTGAAGACCCTGCCACTCTGAATTTAAATGGCAGGGGCAAAAAAAAAAAAAAAAAAAAAAGGTTTATATGGGTTTTTCCCCCAAACAAAATAGAATCCAGAGCTTCAGAGTTCTTTGCAAGCCGGTTTTGTTTTGTTTAGTGTTCCATAACAGCTCAGGGTGCCATCTTGTTTTTATTTTCTATCTTCACCCTTGTTTTTGTCACCTGGTGGTATGTGACCCACGGGGAAGGTCTGGAGAGTGAAAATGGCATCCAGTCCTCCCAAAGCTGCCCATCCCTGGCATGGAATAAGATATGTCTTTTGGCCTTGAACAAAAAATGGAAGCTTGGATTTTAACCTTCATTATTCAAATAGTAAGGAGTTATGATTTTGGCTAAGAATATGGATCTTCAAAAGTACAAAAATAAATATTAATAGCTAATCAGAGCATTCTAATTTAGTAATGCACTTGACGTGCAGTGTGGGCTTTTTCAGGCTTAGCTACACATTGGAATTTGATAAAGGTGTAATGCTTCGTTAATGTTTAAAACAGATTGTGTATATTTGTACTAGCATTAAGTTTTTCCTTCTGGCATCATAATTTTAATTCCTTTTCTTGATGTCTTATATAGGTATTCCGTTGATTCAAGATGACTCCATGGCTTAAACCATTGCTGTTAGCCTGCATTATCTGCATGGGGCAGATACAAGCAGAATTTTTCACTTCTATAGGTAAGGAAAAACACAATCAAGATAGGCGAATTGTGATATGTGGTCTTAAAATCAGTAGGGTTTTTAAAAATGTGAATGTAGCCATCTAGATCATATTTCTCCTGCTATTTTTTAATTCTTGCAGTTGTCATGATTAGAAATTACATGAATGTTTATTGTAGCTCTGATGTGTTGACTATGTTTTTGAGTGGTTTAAACATGATTCATTTCAAAAGGGTTATTCCTGCCCCAGTGCCACAATTCTGATCTTATTCAGGCAAGCCCATGGTTGCATTTCAGAGAAATGTGATACCAGATCTCCAGTATCTAGGTCAGTTTGGCCCCATTTCTTCAAGCTGATATTACTGCTTTAAACTTCTCTTCATTTGTAGTCTTTTTTTTTTAACCAACATAGTGAATAAAAGCAGAAAAGAGTCTTGTGGTACTTTCTTATGCTAGTCTTGCCCCATCTGGTGACCCGTGTTTGACTCACAGCATTCCTCACCATTGGCCATTCTGGCTGCAGCTGATGAGAATTGAAGTACAAAAATTTTGATAAGTGTTAGGCTGCAGAAAGTTGGAATGGCACAGTGGTCAAGCGTTCGTCATTACACTTCCAATAGTCACATCTCCAAGGGGAGTCCTAAAATTTCAGGCAGCTGACTTGATCCATTACAACAAACCAGTTCTGGTAGGATTACTTCCACCAGGAGTAGGTGATTTGTAAAACTAAGGGATCTCACAGAACCATTCAAGCCCTAGCCCTTATCTTGCTGTTGGGAAAATGATTTTTCTCCAATTACTGTGAGAGCAGCAGCTAAGCTTAGATGGGGTAGCAGATAACATCAGGGACCCTGTTCATAACATGTGCTTGCATTACATCCCTGTGAGCTCTCAATGACTACCTCCTTGAAAAATGGAGGGAAGAGCTCTCGTCCACCCCCTTCACATCTGATGAGCCATGCTTGCATTTTGTCTTGATGCCAACAACATCGCAACTGAAAGGTAACATAGGGCAGCCTTCCCAGTGTTAAACAATTGATGAAGGTGGACCTTGACAAAAGAGTCCAAGCGAACCCCCCTTCCCTAGATATTGAAGTTGTGGAAATGTAGCTCCAGCAACATATGGTAGAATGAATTTTCTAGGCTTGAACAAATGCTTTAGTAGCATCGTAAATTCTAACCTGCGGCGGTTTTCTTTCATACATCAAAATGAACATGTTTTTTGTCTTTTCATTACCTGTCGTGTTTGTTCACTCCCTACCTATTCTTACTCTTCGATGGACTCTTTGATTTTAAATCTGTAATAATATTTGACTTTCTTCTATTTAAGGCCAGATGACAGACCTCATTTTTGCAGAAAAGGATCTGGTACAGTCATTAAAGGCATATATCCAAGAAGAAGAATCTAAGCTTTCTAAAATTAAAAGGTAAAGGGATAAAGCACATGCCAATTTTTCCAAGCTAATGTTATATTAGATCTAATGTTGTCTTTGGCATCAGAGAGGACAAAGACTGTAAATTTGTGCACATTTACCTGGGAATAAATCGTATTGGAGTCTCTGGAGCTTACATCTGAGTAGACTTGTACAGTGCTGGGAGTGCTGGTTATTTCTTATTATAGAGAGGAATGTCTCTAATATCTGACGTATTAGAGACATTTATTCTGCATTTGTGATTTCTCACTCATGGAAGTTTACGAGGCCTTTTCAGGACACTCATTCTCCAGAGCATCTCCTGTATTTTCCAACCCATTTTTTTGCAGGATTTTTTTAGAGCAGGGAGGGTCTGGCATGAAATATTACGTTGTGACAAAGCGGAACATTCACTACCAGTTCACTTCACTGCAGTTATAGCACCTTGTGGTTGTTTAATGGACTGTACAGAGCAGCAGAAAAACACACACCCCAGGGAAACCCCCTCTGTGAAGGAGGCCTTTTTCCTCCTGCTTTGACAATAGAAGAAGAAGCGTCCATAAAGCAGCCTCGTAAATCCCTGCTGTAGAAAAACCCCACGTGTTCTGTTTTCAGTGGAAAGTACAGCATTGTTGACCTTCCTACCTGCTCCTCCTCTGAACTCTTAGCATGCAATGGCTCACAAAGAGTTTCCCACCAAGCTACAGGCAAGTCTTTGCCTAAGGATGAAGAAATAGGCTCAGAGTTTTGAACACTGGTCTGCCCCCCACCAGCATTTCCGACCACCCTCAGTGCATCTTTCCTCCTGCCAGGTGTCAGAATATGTCCATCCTCAAAGTTCAGCTCTAGTTGGCACTATTCTATTTATTTATTATGTTTACAGTGTTTTCCCTGCCAAGCAAGAGTAGGAAAAGGGGTGGCATTCTTTCATTATTGTGTTATCATACACTCAGAGTAGGCAGGCTAAACAGAATATTGAAAATGTCCTGGGATTGATTGTATCGTGTATGTTTTGTTTCCAGTTGGGCTGAGAAGATGGAATCCGTAACGGTCAAGGCCACTTCAGACCCAGAGGGTTACCTTGCACATCCTGTCAATGCTTATAAACTGGTGAAGCGTTTAAACACCGAATGGCAGGAACTGGAGAACCTGGTTCTAGAGGATGCAACCAAGGGTGAGCAGGTTAAGGAAAACCTGTTTGTGAATTAGTCTATGGGGAGAGAAGCCGTCTTTCTGCCGGGGTTTCCTCTGAACAGGCCTTGCAGTTTCCTCACCACTAGCTGGAAAACAAAAACCCACTATACAGATGAGACAATGTGCATAACTTGTGCATTATGCATTGAAATGTTATTTTATTTATTAAATTTGTATAAAAACTGCCTGTTAGCATAATGCTATCTGGGTGGCCATTATAATAAAATGCCAATAATAATATTAATAAAATAATGTAATTAAATATTGTAATAAATAGAAAAAGCTCAATATATAATCAACAGAATGATAAACATTAATAAATTTCATTAAAATTAATTTTTTAAAGATGAAAGCATACTTTTATAACACATGCACACATATAAAAACATTGATGAACAATGGCTTAATAGAAATGGGAAACAGATTTTAAAATATGAAATCTTTCAGTATAAATCAGTCATATTTTTCACATATTTACAAACAGATTTTAAAATATAAAACACTTATTAAACTCTTTTTAACAATGTTAGATTCAAAATGTTATAAAGCTTTTAAAGTATGTTTTAATTTTTAAAATGTTAAATCTATGAATGCTTTTAAAATAATCTATAAAATATATAAATTGCATGTGCTATCGGAGGACATTTTTATTGTTTTTGGGAAAAATCTACTAACATCTGTGGACTTTTTCAGCTTCTCTCCTGTTTTAAATTCTCTTAGTAATAATGAATAAGTAGGAATTCTTGTTCTTAGTCAATACTAAACTGTACTCTCAGTTTCCCATATCGAAACTTTACCCCTCATCATGCTGGCTAGGCCTGAAGACAGGGAGAGCTGTGCTGGTCTTCATTACCTGCTCCGAATCCAGCTTCTTCCCAAGTAATATGCACCTTCAGATGTTCCTCTCCCATGTTGAACTGGCTTTCAAGTTGCTGAAATTCTGGTTTGGTGCAATGTCTCTACAGCAGCCATTCGTGGAAAAGTGCAGGTGAAGATGTTCCGGCCACCCAGACACCCAACTTTTCACCAAGGTTATCTTTAGGCAGTTGTTCTGCCAAATACCTGTTTCTGCTGCCTGTCCAGGAAGTGACATTTGTGCTAAACTGACCTTGAATTTCAGTATTTGCCACCTGACAAAAAAGCCCCAAATTATTGAGTATTGCTCCTAAGGAATGAGAAGCCGTCCTCTAGCAGGTCTTCCTTTTCCAAAAGATTTGCAAACCTATGAAGTAAATATTTGCTGGTTTGTTTTTACATTCATATTCCTCCCCTTCCTCCAGATGGAGTGTCTGGGTGGCTTACAATATTTAAAAATAACACATGCATTAAAACAATAAAAATCCAATAAAAAACAATAGATAGTTAATATCACAACAACAATAAATAGGTCATTATGATAAAATACTAAAACTAATACTAAATTGGGGGCAACAGAAATGGACAATTAATTTAAACATTAAAATGAACTATTAATTTTTTTCTTGATTCAAATACCTAGAAAAGAGAAATGTTTTTGCCTGGTGCTGGAAAGAGAGTAAAGTTGGTGCCAGGCGAATTTCTCTGAGGAGTTTATTGCATAAATGGGGGGCGGCCACCGAGAAGGTTCTTCTATTTGCCACCCTTCTAACCTCCTCGGGCGATGGATCTGGATTCTTCCCAGATCTTAGTGGGGAGAAGGCGGTTCTTTAGATTGCCAGGTCCTAAGCCATTTAGATTTTCTATGTAAAAACAAGCACTTTGAATTGGGGCTGGACTACACCTGGCCACCAGTGTAGATTGTCAAGAATTGGTGTAATATGGGCCCGCAAGGTGGTACCAGTTATCAAATGCACGGCCCAATTCTGAACCAGTTGAATTTGCTGGACTGTCCTCACAGGCTGCCCCACATAGAGTGCAGGAACATATTCCAGAAACATTCTGTGTATAAGCTTTGTGCCAGTAAGCACATAAAAGTGAGAATTGCTTCATTTCCCTCTCTCTTTCTCATTGTCGTATGTGTGATAATATGCTGATGATGCCAAGCACAGGACTTGAACAAGAGCATGTTCTCCCCTGCCCTCTCCCTCCCTCCCACCCAAATCTGGGCTTGAAGCATACAAGCTGCCAAGAGAAAGTATCACTTTTTCCTTTTGTGTGTAAACAGCTTCTGATGCTTTTGTCCTTTGGCCCTGTTGGGTGACAGTGGCAATTGCAAAAGTCCTTCACTTTTCAGAATGAAAAACTTGCAAATCCCATCTTCTAAAATGCAGCATTAAGGGAAAGTTCATTTAACTATATTTCGCTACTTGTTCTCCTAGAAATGTTCTGTTTACTAAGCTCATCTTTTTTCAAAGCAACTTTTTGACATGACTTTTTAACACTGAGTATTAAAGAGGAAATGCTGTTTCTCAGAAACCAACCACATATGGTTTTTGGTGGGGTTTTTGTTTTATTTTGTTTTTGGCACTCATGCTAGAAGTATAGAAGCTTTGAAGTCTACTTTTCCCAGCCAGGATGTGTAGCATATGTTGCAGACGCTTGCCATGAAAAAAAATGAACTCTTGATGTTTTTAGTACACAGAAGATGACAAGGATTTGTGCTGGAAGTGCAAAAGTGATAAGGGAAGATTACTGCTTTACAGTGAATACTTGATGTTTCCATTGCTTTTAAGAAACTGGCTGCATGTGATTGAGTGCAGGGAGTGCAGCCAGGCTCAGCTAGCTGCTTGCAATGGAATGGTTTGTGCTTATATATTTATTTTAACGTTTTTATATGCTGCCCCTACTAAAGTCTCTGGACGGCTTACAAAAAACAACCAAAAGGCAAAAACCAGTACTTGAGGTACCAGAAAGCAAGAGACCTGGCCGTATACATTCCGCAGATGTGTGTGTGGAAGGGAAATACCTGTCATAAGTTTTGTTCCTTTCTGTCTGTTCTTTCTCAGCTCTGAAAGTTAGGACATTACAAAGCTGAAGTAACAGTTCAGTCGGACACCTTGGAACCTCACTGCACTGTACAATCCAAAAGCACTGCATTGCCCCTCTGTGTGCTTTTGTCTGATCAAAAGGTCTGGGCTGTTGCTCTCTGAATTTGGGGTGCTCCAGAGCAGAGATGGGCATAATGTCGTTGTTTTGAAAGTCTGCTCCCAGCACTGCAGACCACTGGCCATTCCAGCAGGGGCTTCCGAGAGTCCAAAATATCTGAAGATTTGCCTTCCTCCCTCCCAGGCTTTGGGTTATGGTTGAAAATGCCCTCCCCACGGTGTTGTCCTTAATATATTTTCTGGTCTCTATTTTCCATGAGCTATGGCTAATTTCCATGAGCTGTGGAATTTTCTTGAAATGATGTCTCTCTTCTGGATTTTGTTGCTTCTGATAGTCCCATACAAGAGTGCATTTTATTGCTCTTTGAAATGCCACATGCATTACTGGTGTTGCATATAAAATGCATATTAAAACATAGTGTCTCATAATCTGTGTATTGGATCCAAAACTGTCTTTCTGTTGGAACTGGGAATAGGATTCCTCCCCCAGCCCCCTGCACACCTTCTCAATCTGATCCAGAGAACTGGGAAACAGAAGTCTGCAGTGGATGGTCTGGATGGCCGCAGGGCAGAGGAGAGAGGCAGGCAGAAAGTCCCATCACACAGGAGGGCTTCTGCTGGCCTGACCTTGGATGTGATCCTGCATCAGCATGCCAGCACCTACCCAAATTTTGCTTGCTGCTTCCTGAATCACAAATGTTGGACATCTACACTTGTTTTTATTTGAGGCATTACTAGAGCTGGCTTCCCCTACCTGGTACCTCTCCACCCCCCCACCCCCCGCACCAATGTTTTGAATTCCAGCTCCCAACATCCCTAGTAACTGGCCACTCTGCCTAGGTAGGGCTGATGCAGACCCAAGTCCAAAATATTTAGAAGGCACCAGGGAAGGCTATACAAGAGAACAAGACAGAAGACATAATTAAAATGCATATTCAGGGTGGGTTCAGATGACAGGCACTTTCCCCACCATGTAGGTAATTGCAATATACTACCTGCAATGTGATCCATTTCGAACAGGTTAAGAGGTTCTGTCCGTAATGCATCTTTGGCAACTACACTGCCAGCTTATCAGTGCCTCCTTTTCTGTGTAGTGACAAAACTGAGTTGACCCCCGCACTCAAACTTTGGGTTTTCCTTTACCCCTCTCCTTCCTTCCTGTGCTCCCATTCGCTGCCTCATTCTTGGGTTGGACAAACCATAGTTAACTATTACATCCAAATGGTCTAAACAATTTACCTTCCATAGTTTGCCTACTAACCAGAATCAGAAGTGGTGACTTGAAATGGGTTTCCAATTCTGGTATGGGGGCAAACTACAATTTGCCCAGTTCAGCTGTCATGGCAAACTATACATTTTCTAGCAAAAAGATGAGCAGGAACTGAAGTGTATGAGAGAAGAGGGAGGAGGGAATATGCAAGCCTGAAGTTCAGCCTTGATTTGTGATTTGGCTGTTAGCTCCAAACTGGACCATTGTGTGGAGGGAAAACATGGCGGCCATTGAGTCAGACCTGATTCCTGTTGATGCACTCCAGCATGACATAACTGCAAGCAGCTCTTTGCTGTGGCCTAAAATCACTTTTGCTTGCTGGCTGATACAGATCTGTTCCCCGTATGTCTTTTGCATGTTACTTCATAGATTTTTATCTTAAAGCCAAATAGCAAAGCCCAATGCGTTATATATAATTTAGCGAGCCAGATGAGAACATTGTTTGTTTATGCTTAAACTTCAGCTATTTGGATCCCACAGAGGGTGTGCTGTGGAAAGAGCAGATGTTCCTAATTGTAGATCAGTCTGGTATCGATTAGATGCATCTGTGACACGCAGTACTGATGGTTTCTGTCTTGTTCAAATGAAGGTTTCATTGCAAATCTCACAATTCAGCGTCAGTTCTTCCCAAGCGAAGAAGATGAGACAGGAGCTGCCAAGGCCTTAATGCGCTTGCAGGACACGTACAAGCTGGACCCTGAAACCATTTCAAAAGGAGAATTTCCTGGTAATGCTATTTGACATTGTTATTAAACATGCTGATTATTTATGTTTTGGTTTTCTATCTAATACCAGTAAAAACTGATTAAGCCATGACATGTTTATGTTGGGCTGGATCCAGGATCTGCCTTCCAATAAGGTGTGTCCACCCAATTTGGGTAGACCCATCCAACCACCATAGCACAGCTGCGGAGTTCCCCAGTCATTTGTATAGCATTTTCAGGGCACTGGAGGGACTGCCCTGGGGAAATGGCCCTCTTGCATGCACCTAAATCTGGAGCCAGCCCACAGTGTCTCCTCTCAAGAGCATTTTCTGGCAGTATTGTGCCAGTTTTTCTGCATTTCGAGAGTTGTGGTTAGCCATGAAAAGTTTTGCAGTCTCCAGAGATTTTAGAAAATCCTATTCAGCCGTATCTATGGAATCATCCCAAAGCTAGAGAAATAGGTCTGAAAGTATATAATGTTCTGGTCCAAAGAATGTGCTGTAATTTCCTTACGTTTCGAATCATGATGCTCAAGTAAGATGGTTAAATAGATTCTCTTTGATAACGCAAAGCATCGTCAGAGTTGTTTAATTCAAACTGGCATTCTGGCTCATTACTACTGGACTACAGGGAAATTTATGGCCACCCCATAGCATTTCAGGCAGAATGAGTAGTCAGCAAGTAACATATCTGCTCTTGTGGACGGAGGGGTTCATGTGTTTAAAGGGTTTGGAAGTGTGAGAACTTGCCTAAGCTTCACGTTGACCATAAAGTACATTAGTCTGTTTCAGTCACCAAAAGCTTCACATGCATCCTTTACAGCTAATCCCTTTCATTCCTTTTATGAAATCCTTTTCATCAATGATCTAATTGGGATGACCTCAGGTTCTAGTATGATGAGAGAAATAGAAATAGGGCTCTGTCCACATCATTCATAATTCTGTAGCCCTCTATCAGGGCTCCCTGTAGTTGACCTTTTTCTGAGCTAAACAATTTCCCCATTGTAATGTTTCCTCATGGGGAACTGCTGCAGCCCCTCCCCCATCCCATTTTAGTTGCCCTTCTCAGTACTTTTCTAACTCTATGATATTCTTTAGGTACAGTGACCACAGATGTACACAGTAGTCTAAGTATGGTTGCACCAAAGATCTGTATGTTCAGAGAGTGTTATCGCACTTAAAACATCTATATAGGGAAACTGAGAGTGGACCTTGGCTTCCCAATTGGGTAGAGAACATACCATCTGATCTCAGAGAGAACATGCTTGCTGCTTTGCTCTCATCTTGTCATCCCAGCTCAGGGTGGGGGATCAGATCTTTCCTTGACCATGCAATGGCTGGCCTAAGTCGTTAGCAAATCCCTGTAAGATTTCTCACAGGAGTAATGAAATATATACAGATGTGATGTATTTGAACAAAGAGCAGGATAGAAATAAGGTTAACTGGTGTAGCAGACCTGGAGGAGAATGGTCATTGTTTGATTTTGCATGGACATAAGTTGGATGCTGCACGTCCATGCTAAGATGTGCATAAAACTAAAAATGATGCATATATTATACCTGCATTGAGAAGTGCATGTGATTGACCCTGGTTGGATCCAGAGCAGCCATTCTGACAGCAGAAAGGCCCTGCTTGTGGGCAAGACTTCCTTGTCCTTTTTCTCCCTTGCATCTGCCTGAGTACTCCCCAGATTTGCTCCAGAGGGTTCCTCAATCCTATGGAGAAGATTTGGATGGTATATGGTGGGCTGCAGGAGAGAAACGGGAAGTCCTATTCCATAACTTAATATCCTCTCATTGGTGGAACAACAGATCCAACCCAGTGTCCCTATTTGATCTTTGAAGAGGGAGCCACTGAAACATAGAAACAGAGCGAGTCATAAGGGGCCTCCTGGGCCACTTAGTCTGACCCGTGGCTCCAGCCGGCTCCACTCATGACATGCCTACCATGTGCATGTCCTGAACTTGCAGGAGGGGTGCCAGAAGCCAGTACTGAAATTTGAAGAGGGAATTTTCTCTTGCAGTTCAAGTGATCCTGTGGATGAGTGGCAGGAGAGAGGCTTGGTTTGGAGAAGACATGCTTCTAGGCCAGCTGCTCTTCCCACAAGTTCTAAAGGCAGAAAGGGCTTTTCTTGCATTAAAGAGGATTCAGTGACAGGGAGGAATTTGGGCAGTGAGATTTGTTCATATTTCCCCTTTCCCATCTGTCACCCTGATGGCAGTGAGCACTGCACTGGAGGTTCTCCCTGCTTTTGATGTGCTATGCATTCATGTGGCTGGGCACATCAGCAAGGAGCCTGAAAAAAACAGATGAGCTCCTCTCTCCTGGAATATTAATGTCTTCCCTCTGTATGCAGAAGGAAGAGAACACGTGCTCTTTCGGTTGCAAGTGGCGTTCTGCCTGGCCATTTAAAAGGGTAGGAAGGCGAGGCTGGGAGGTCCTGTCTGGATGGAGAGCCTGCTCTGGCCCCAAGCCCACTCCTCTTTGGCCCCAAGCTCAAGGGACATAAGGCTGAAGCGGAGAGAACTGGCCAGCCCCCAACTTGTCTAGCAGAGCATTTGTGCCTGATGAGGCCTTGTACTGAGGCAGAACAAAGAGTGGTGAGCATACGCAGGCTTTTATTTCCCATTCTTTTTAGACAGCTTGTGGGCAGGTAAGAGATATTTTCAAAAAGCCAACATTTCCCATACCTTTCAAGGGTTCCTTTGTTTGTTCAGCATGTCCTCATTCAAAATAGAGCAAATTATAAATAAAATAGACGGGAATGATTACAGATGACTTGTTTAGGAAGCTCACAAAACTGTTCTCAAAGCAGAAGCACTAAGGCAGTCCCTTGGGGTGCGAGGCCAGGATGAAACAAAGGCCAGGGTACAGGAGGCCAGGGAGGTGAGAATTCAGAGACTCCTGCTGGGCTGCAGGCCCCTGGGCAAGCCTTGTGCTTCTGCAAGCAAGAACAGGGTTTGTCTGTCTGTCTGTCTAACTCTCTGCGCAGAATTTTCTGTAGCCTGGCAGCTCCTCCTGAATACCTGGAAGAGACAGCAACATCGTATGGTCTCATGGGAGTTCAGGAAGAGCTGCCAAGCTGGAGAAGCCACTTTGTAAAGAGCTTCCTGACTCTGCACGTGCACCATGGTTGTTTTCTTGTATGTGAAAAATACAGATGATCCGTCAGCCACTCATTCAAAAGGTACGTGGGAACCCTCCCCCCCCCGGAGAATTTCTTCAGAATTCACCCCCTGAAAAAAGCGGTGCTCCTTCCACAGTGGGAAAGGGGAAAACAGTGGAAGCAGAGGACGGGGTTTGGCGTCGCGTGAATGCATAGTTAACCCTTGCACTTCCAAATTCAGGAACAAAGTACAGATCAGTCCTGACAGTGGATGACTGCTTTGGCATGGGGAAAACGGCTTACAATGATGGTGATTATTACCACACGGTGCTGTGGATGCAGCAGGCGCTGAAACAGCACGACGATGGTGAAGAGACACTCGTCACGAAGGCAGAGATCCTGGATTACCTCAGTTATGCCATCTTTCAGCTCGGTGACATTCGCAGGGCTATGGAGCTCACGAGGCGGCTGATTTCCCTTGGTAAGAAGGACAAGTCTTGCATCCTTCTAATCACCCAAGTGCAGTTATTGATGAAGCTGAGCTAGCCTGGTGCTCCCCTTTACAGAAAATGTTTTGGGCATGTGTAGTGGATTTCTCTGTAAGTCCCAGTAGGACATGGCTGAACCCTGGTTTTCCTCCTCTTCTGCCCCTCTGCTCTGTGATCAGCCATGTCCATGGAGTGATGTTCTTCACGTGTCTCTGGCCACATATGCTCACAGCATGGAACACCATCACCCACCCGGTCTCATGTTTCCCACTGACAGGACACTACATTACATTAAATGATGCTTAGGTTAGCCTGTGCCAGGTTAGCCTGACCCCATGGGCCAAAAGCAGATCAGACCTGCAGACTCTTCTCAGGCGACACACCTCCCCAGAAGCTCAGCCTGGTGCTTCTCTTTTAAAAATGTTCATGTGATAACGGTGTGACTCCAGCAGAACCCTTGCACAAGGGGATCACTCCATTCACAGAAGGGGTCTCAATGCTGCAGAGGCGTCCACAGATTAAAAGGAGCGGAAGGCAATTGAGCAAAGTGTTGCGTTATATTCGGAATTCTGCGTATTCCATTTGAATTCTTCCAAGGCGTGTCCTCCTTTTCCAAGGCTGCAATCTTTTGGCTGGTTGGCTTTTAGGGAATCTTATGTCAACTAAAATTTGTTTCAACAACATATTGATTGTCCCCTGCAGCTCATAAACACTTGGATTAGTATTGCTGAATCTAATCACTTGGATTCAAGATAAGTTTATCCAACTTGGAACAATAATTCACTCTAGGAATTACTTCAATTAATAAATGCAATTAATATTTGATTCCTAAATAGGGGCAAATGTATGCCTGTTAAAGTCAACTTGAAACTGGTTTTATAAGCAGTCGTGCTCATTTCTGGCAGCAGTATGACTGTGTCGTTTGACACCTGGCTCTAACCGTCTCATGTTTCTGGCAGTGAAAGAGATTCACTGAAAACATGCTGTTGAGTCTTGTTGGTGTTCAAATGCCATCTAAGCATCAATTGGCATTGCATCTCTCCCATAAAAAATGTACAGATTTGTGCTTAAATAATGACAGTAATTGGCATTATTCTGTTCTTGATTTGTGACTGGTGTTCCAAGAGCCCTCTCCTACTGAGCCCTTTAGGATTTTTTTAAGGCTTGTTAGGATTTTCTTAAGTGGGTAAAAATTGAATGTTGAGTCGTATGGGAATGATGTTGCACACATGTTACATTTTGCATTGAAAAGGGGAAGATCTACTTACAGTGCAGGTGCTGGTATATTCCTTTTTAAGCTTGGTCCAACGTTCCCTCTCCAAGCAACCTACAGATATTTTGAACTTCAGCTTCCATCAGCTCGAGTCAGCATAGGCAATGGTAGTCAAGAATTTGTTGCTGCAGTCCAAAACATTTGAGGGTACCAGGCTAGCTAGTCTTTTAGCTTTTATCTGAAATCATCTGAAGTTACATCTAAAACATGCTGAAGCATCGATTGCTTCATCTCCCTCCACTTTGCGTATTCTAGAAAGAGAGGTCCGATCAGTAGGTGGTTCACAGTTGGTTATTCCATTTCTAAGCTGCAGTGTTCTGTTAGATAGTTCACAGTGGCAACGGACTGCTTGTGCTCTGTTCAAGGCAGAGAGGGACATGGTGTAGCCGGGAACAATACTCTTTCTTCAGCTCAGCAAAACATTTAAGTGGGCAGTTTCTCCAGTTTCTGACCTCAGTTTGTTTCAACCAGAATCAGGACAGTAACTGTAATTAATGTTGGAGAACTCACTTGCTCTGCTTTTCAAAAGTAGTAGCACTGAGGGGAATGAGCAAGTTCTTTCTTACACCAAATAGCTGGCGTCGTGTTGTCAGCTGCAAGCTTCCTGTTGCTCAGAAGGCTGAGATGATGCACTGCCACGGTCTGTCTCTCTTTCCCACTTTTCTTTCCTGTTCAAGATCCCCATCACGAGAGGGCGAGCAGCAACATGCGATACTTCGAGAAGCTGCTGGAGAATGAAAAGGAGGCAAAGCCTTTCAATGAGAGCTCTGACACAGTCGAGGCAACAACAAATGGTGGGATTTACGAAAGGCCTCAGGACTACCTGCCGGAGCGTGAAATCTATGAGGCCCTTTGCAGAGGAGAAGGTGTGAAAATGGTGAGAAAGAAAGAGAACTCTGAAGGCTACCATTTAAACATGTGCACTGCAGTGTTTGCTCTGAGAATGCATTCCTAAAACAAGTTACTACTTCCCTTTGGCTTGTTATAAATTCAGTTTTTTGTTAACAAAAACTGGAAAAAAATCCATCTTTCTGGGACAAAATTCTGGTTTCAGCACTTTTTAAAGTTTCCATTCTGAACAAGAGCTGGCTGTTTCTCCCATAAGTTATACCTTAACCAACTGTTTTGCTATCAATGGAGACTTCCTGTTGCAAGCAGAGATAATTTTTGCAGAAACCAGAAGATTCATACACAAGATTTTAACTTTCTTGTAATAAATGATATTCTAGATGATTAAGATCCTATATTAAGCACACCCTTGTTATGTCTTGATAATGCCAGTATGTTAAAATATAGCCACCAAAGTCGGCACAACTAATCAGGCCATCTAGTACAACCCCAGCTTGATGCAAATGGCTGCTCGTGCTTGGTTGAAAAGCTCCCATGAGGAAGAATCCTGCACTTCTCTGGCTAATTGCTTTTGTTATCACACTGCTCAGAGTATTAAGTAGGTTCTAATGTTGCATTGAAAGCTTCATGTAATTTAAGCCCATTAGATCTAATCTTATTCTCTGGGGAAGAGGAAGCAGCCTTTGCTCATACAATGTCTGTTTAATTTTCTCTCTTCTAAGTGAAAAATTCCCAGTTCTTTCAGTCTTTCTTGTAGGGCTTGTTGCCATACTTCTGAGCAACTTCACTGTCCTCACTTGACCCATTCTAATCTGTCTATATCCTTCTTACAGTATATTGTCCAGAACTGGATGCTACTCCTGATGAAGTTGGACTAGTGCAAAATGAATGGGAGTGATTATCTCTCATGCCCTGGAAACCATGTTTTTTGTTAATGCAGCCTCAGATCAAGTTAGAATTTGTTGCAGCTGCGTCATTTGGCTGACTCATATTCATATTCATCTCATTTCAGTCCTGAGATCCCTTTGCATACATTCCTGTCAAGCCAGGGGCCCTCCAAGCTGAACCTGTGCTTGCTTGCTTGTGCTCCCCTGCTACATGGGCAACGTGACTTTTATCTCACACTTTCGTTTTCTTTGCTTGCATCCAGTTTCCTACATGGCCAAGGTCATTTTCATTATAGTCCTATTTTCTGAAGTGTAATTTTCACATCTCATTTTTGTGTTGTGACCAGATAGGATTATTCTTTCCATCCCTTTCTGTAAGACTTAGATTTTTAGTTATCCATATTGAAGGACCCTTAGGTAGACCTCTTGAAATCTATCTCTGATTTGATGAGGAACCATTGATGATGACACTCCAATTGCAGCTTTCCAACTAGCTAACTGTGCAATGGGAACTATTTTTCCAGTAGCCAGATGTGTTTATGTGATATATGTTATTCAGTATGCATTTCTTCTTTTCATGTGTGAGATGTTATTTAACCTTGAACATACAATTGTTATTGGGTTTTATGACCTAGAAACTGCCAAGCTTCAGCTATTGGGGTGGTATAGAAATAAAAAAAATGATCATAATGATAAATAATGATAAATAATAACAATATTCAGCATTCAAAAGAGAGTATTCATCTGGATTTTTCTTAGACACCTCGAAGGCAGAAGAGGCTGTTTTGTAGGTACCACAATGGAAACCAAAACCCCCACTTACTTATAGCGCCATTCAAAGAAGAAGATGAATGGGACAGTCCGCATATTGTCAGATACTATGATGTCTTATCAGATGAAGAAATAGAGAAGATTAAGGAGCTGGCTAAACCAAAAGTAAGCGTCTCATTTCTTCAACCAGCTAATAAATATGATCTGTTAATGTACTGAAGCGATATACTCGGATGCCTTGGGGATGCCAAAAACGCCATCCCATTTCCATGAGTGTGATTGTTATAATGTACTGAAACACATTCCACCATGGACCTTAATGTGGGGTAGTTCGGGCACATCAGTTACAACAGGTCTAGTGAGCCAAGACTTGGATTAAGTTATTTCAATGGGGCTCCAGGATGGACCAGGGAGCAGTTCTTCCTGAACTATCAGCAAAATCATTTTCCAGTACAATGCTGATATCAGGAATAAATTCCTTTCTTTTAATTCCTTTTTCAGATGTAGTTTTTGAAACAAAATCACAAGTGTTGGTCATAATTTTGCTCTGTTCTTGATGAAGAATGACGTCTGCGGTTGCTGTTCTGACTCTTGGGTGGCATATCCTCTAGATCAGTGCTGAACTGCACAGTGTTACTTTTATGACAGCTCTAGATTAATGGTGTCTGTTCCAGTGTTTTATTCATGATCATTTGTGCAGCCTAGCAAGAAATAAACTGAAAAACAGTTCTGTTGGACTATTTTATATGAGCTTTCCATTTTAAGCCATTTTTCCTCTCTCAGCCATTCTTATAGCTGTTATAGTGAGAGTGTCTATCTACTTATTCTGCCGACCTCCCCCAAATACAGTTCCTCTCCCCTGAAGACCACCCTAATGTTAGATGGAAACTGAATGAATGGAAACATATGGTGCGACCTTGGACTGGCCTGGATCAGAAGTAGTATTAAACCATGATTTAATATTGCATGCATGAGCTTCATGCTTGTACTTCCTCCTGGCCCCTGTGACACTGTCTCCCTTCTTGTGCAGCCATGAGGAGGAGATCAGAAGCTTTCATTTCCATTTCGGTTGACTACAGTTTAGTGTTACATTCAAACCTCAAACCATCTTAACTACGTTTAATCTTAACTATGGTGTAAAAAAGCAAGTTGACTTCTTAAATCACACTGGTTTGTATCACTTCGTCACAGGAAAACCCAATCATAGTGTGCTCGAGTTAGCTAAGAATGGAACTGCAGTTAGTTAAAACAACCTCTTCTGGAAGGTTCTGATTTGTTTTGTTTTGTTTAACTTTTTTAGACTATCCCTTACCGTAATCTCGGGATAGTTTAACAATAAGACAAATGAAAATAAAACACAGCATCCTAAACACAGCATCCATTTATCTTCACTCCATGTGAACCATGGAGTGGTTCACATATCGCCATGTACATATGGCCATGTGACAACAGGCCATAATTTAACATTGGCTTGGTTCTCACAACACAACAGCCTGCTGTGGTTTCATTTACCTGCAGGGGCTGGTGCATTGTGCTGGGTGCCCATGGACGCTATTTTTGCATGGCACTTGCAGGATACTAGCTTCCCATGGCTTGTCATGTCATGTGGCAGTGGCTGTTTGATGGTTAGACAACCCTCAAATAGCTCACACCTTTTGAACACACATATGATTGGTTGTCTTTGGAAAGAATTTTATTTTCCAACTCTAACTTGCCACTTCTCTATTACTCTCTATCTGTAATCTATACTAGAGTGTAGGCAAGACAGCAGCAGAGATAACAGTCTACCATCAAACAAACAAAATACCCATTAATATTTTGATGCTGCCAAAGTTTGAAAAATACATTTACCTAGCTCATAATGCTGAT